ATCTTAAAATTTAATATTCGATAATATCTTTTTAATATAAGGAAGTAAAAATAGAAACTATTTGCTAATTTCTATTTTTAATACCGCCTAAATATTTAGCTCTTCATGGACAATGGTGAAGAAACAGTGATTAACATCAATAGTACGCTAAAAACACTGTAACGGTACAAATAGATATTTATGGACGAGGTGATGAAGGAGCCGAGTTGCAATCATTCATACTCTCTTCACCAACTCATCAAAAAATAATTCTATTATGTACTATAAACCACTACATATTTTTGATTCTTTCAAATAAAAAATTGTTTTTGTCAAATTAAATTTTAAAATGTACAATTGCGAAATGTTTGAACGCATAAATGATGAAATTAATTGAAGCAAAATGACAGTTAATTCCAAACAAATCGACAAGATTTTTTAACTCAACTTTTATGCGACCCCGTATAATTTCTTGCGACTTAAGAAGAAATATCGATACATTTTTGGCAAAGTAACCATTTTTGGCGAAAATCATGTTTTTCAATTAAAATAACACTATTATTGTTAAAAAGGTACTGCCAAAGTGTAGTAAGCGTAGAATTACTTTAAACCTTTTTTAGAACAAGTAGGACAAGTTTTTTCAGTCATAATTTAAATAAGTTTAACCAGGTTGAATTAAAAAAATTGTTTTTTCTACAAATCGTGTTTGGTGACTTTGCCAAAAATGTATCGATATGTTCTGGTAATTAGAATTATTGTTTTGTTTGAACGGCCGTCGAAGGATGACATGAGCATCTTATAAACATTTTTCTCTCATTATTTTAACAATCGAATGATAAACAAATGTTGCAGAATTTCGACAGAAACCGGTTTATGAGAAACACGTTGTCATTTCATATCAAACAGCAGAATGAGGTGTCGTTTTTTGTTTGGATAAAGTTCATTGGGTAAGCTTTTTTTAAATCTTTCTACAGATATCATCATATCAGTTATTTATTGTAGTTCTTTTTTATTATTGGACATTTTCTTGTTGTCCCTGTTTTTGGTGGGATCCCCAATTAATACTACGTAATGTTCACTATAACTACTCATTACAGAGATGTATCAATCCCAACTGCTATCAGCACAGCCAACATAAATGCTGCCACAGCCTACATTCACAGCCGTTGGTCAAGTTTCGGCTGATTTTTACGGTGAAGATTCGGCTGGTAGCCGAATGTTTTCCATGTTAATTTTTAACACATATTTATCTTCTTTGGCTAAAAGTAGTGATAAAAATAATTTATTATAGATGCCCAACAATTAGGATAAGAAATACAGATCGCTATAAATGAAATTTGCAATAAAAGCCGTTTTGACAGGTCAATTAAGTCAACACAAAGCGTCCCAAGATTTTCAAGTAAGAAGACAAGCCATACAATCTAAAATCAATATTCTTTTGAAAAAAAAACAAAAGAAGAGCTTCTTGCTAGTTTGGCTGATTCCAGTAATAAGAGTGAGGAGGAGGCAGCTTATTATACAAGCAAATACACAGCTCGTCAAGTTTTTACTATTAATCAAGAGTTAGAGCTTGCGTCTTACAAAAAAACATGTTATAATTTAAACTACGGCCTATAGTATAAACAGAGAAGGAAACTGGCCTTCGATTTTGCGAAATCAAAGATAAATTCTAAAGTACCAAAAAGTTGGGAGTTAAATAAAACTGCAGATTTGTGTTTAACTTTTTGTATATTATTATGTCTAATTAAAGATTAACAGCGCATTAATCGCTTCGCAAACCCGAAAATACTAGCATAAGTAGGTATATCGCTTTCAATAAGCCAGTAATCAAAGACTTTTTTTAAAAAATATACGGACATCGTTGAAAAATATAAGTTTAAGTTCGAACAGATCTGGAATCTCGACGAGACAGGGTTAACAACAGTTATGCCACCTGCCACAGTTGTCCCGAAAGGCAAAAAACAAGTGGCTTATTTCTTCACAGGAGTGAGGTGACTTGTGATGTCTGTAGGGATGGTTCGTGCAACTAGAGGAGTAGTATCACCGGTCTTTACCTATCCTAGAGTTGGAAACTTGAAGAATATTTGGGTGATAAGCACCCGACGTCTTGGGTGCGGGAATAAAAAAGGGTGGATGACATCTGATCTTTTTCAGATAACCACGAGTCCCAGATGTATGTAAAGGCCATTAAATTATGCTGAGAAAAAGGGATCGTTTTAATGTATTTTCCACCTAATACCACACTGAACTCAGCCACTTGATGTTGGGGTATTTGTTCCCTGTAAATCATAAGCTATGGCTCAGCATGACTGGTTGCTTTCAAATACGTCGAAAGCCATTATAATTCGATATCTAGCACGTATGGCTAATCACGCATACGAATATGCATTCACAGTTAAAAATATAAAAAGTTAATTTAAAAATACTGGCCTGTGGCCGATTAATCGACTTGGATTTAGTGATGCAGATTTTCTTTCAAGTGAAGTAACCAACAAACGGTGACATTAACAGAAAATAAAGATGTTAGTACTAATGGCACCACACAGAGGGAATTAGAAACCAGAACAATTTCACCAATTCCTTCAATATCAAAGAATGCACAAGAAAAAATAAATAACAAGACACTTTCTGATTATTCTATAACAACTGCTGTGTTGTCAAATTAGGTCGTATCCAAAAACACAACTTGAAGAAAATAAAACAAAAAAAAGAAGAGCACAATCCACAACATATATGGAGAAACTGGAATACGAAAAAAGACGAAATTTAGAAGCAGAACGCGAAAAAAGACTAAGCTTGAAACAGAATAAGGCATCAGTCAAAAAACATTTGGTTGCAATCGGTAAAAAATATGCAATATTTCAACATCAAGTCAGTCAAGTACTGGAGTTATTTTAGAAGATTGTTCGTCAGACAATAAAGAAGATTTTCAAGACTTGGAACCCATCTTTAAGAATGAAAATATCGATGTGGGAAATTTTGTCTTGGTGAAATTAATAGATTCCTAGACAGAAAATTTTTATGTGGGTCAAATCATGATACTAAGACTAAGAAGATAAGATATTGCGCATAAGTCGTGATGTCATTGGAGACTTTGACGTTCGAAATGTCAGTTTTTTGTATGTATCAATAAATAATCTTTAATAAATAGTTTGGAGATATCCTTATGTGTACGATTATTGTAATTATTAAACCTCTTAACTTATTTTTGTCTAGTAATTTCATCACAGAATGCATACAAATCCCATTTAACTTTAACAAGAATTCAAATTCTACTCTCCAATGACGGCATGCGCGAACACGACCTATTTTGTGCTACGGGAAGATCTTATCTTTACACGCTTAAGATGTTTTTTGTTTTTCTTTTACTATTATAGGGTATTTGAATGGTTAGCCGAATGTTCTATATCCGCTGAAAATTCTTTAAATGCAGCTTTTTAACTTTTAAACCCAATAAACTGGTTTTATTTAAAAATAACAGTTTCTGACCAATCCTTGGAGTTTATTTGTTTGGTTTCTAAAGGTTAATAGGCCGAATGTGGGTCGCTTTCCCCTAAATCTAAGAAAAGGGCACCCTAAGAATAAAATTGGAATCTTAAGTGTCTGTTTATAATTACATGATAGAGCTGTCGTTTTATTGTTAAACAATCGGCATTCAACGATCTAGGTGGTTGTTTTATTGTTACACATTGGTGCCTGACGCTATATTGTTACAGATGAAATGCATTTGAGACAAGAAAATAAATGCGTAATTTTATTTATTTAGTCAATAATACCCAAAATTTTTTCTAACTATAGATGGTAGATCCCTACCTTTTTAATCAGCATTCACCAATTCCTGCATTTTTCTAAACTTTGGTTTTGAAAATTTCGTTAAATCCAACCAAATTGTGAATGTGACACAATAGCAATCTACAATAATTCCTCTATGATACAGACAAAATTTACAGGGCTACAGTTGTATCGGACTATAACATGTCTTGCTTTTAGCGATACATTTGCTTAAAGAAAAGTTGAAGTATTTAATCTCGTTGACTACCACATAGATCCTGTTTCTATTTTTTATCGGATTTTGTCCATTCTTCATATTATTTGTTATATTTGTATTTGTTATCATTGTATTTCTTTTATTCAGTCTATTGTGGCGTTAAACTTAAACTAGATACATATTGCAATACAGCAAATAGTCAACGTTACTCTACAGCAGATTATAGACTGAGAGTTACAGATGATAATTTCAATGATTTTAAGAATTCTTCTTCAGCTTACTCTTGCTTTATATTACGTATGCTTCAACTCAGTCGGGCGGCGATATATGTTCTCTCTACACCTATCCATGGTAATACCTCCTTGCACCTATGACAAATATTCCCAGCTCCATGTTAGGTTAGGTTAGGTTAAGTTTCATTAAAATTAAAGTGACCTATCTTTTTGAAAGGTATTTCATAAATATCCTTTGCAACATTCTGCAAATTAAAAGATTTTGCAATTTAAAAAATCATCAAAAATATTTTTTAACAAACAAATTGCATCTTTAAAAAACTCCACTACCTTTTAGCCAAGTTTTCGTGTTTATGTTTAGGCACAGCTAAAGATGTTTTACACACAGTTTCACAATGCCATCGAGTCATGGTTTACTTAATATTGTTTAGGTTTGAAATATCTGGAGTGTCTATATTTTTTAAAATATAATATTTTAGCAAGTATGTAGTTATGGCTTATAGCCATATCTACACAGCTTACTATTATTGGTTTACTGACTGCTAATATTGTAATCTCTTGGACGCCTGATAAAAACGGCAAATTAAATGCATCTAGTAGAATACTTTTTCGTGTCAATCAATCTTTTAAAAAACTAAGTAGTAAAATGTTTTTCGATAAAAATTATTTACAATGAATGGAAAATATCACCAGATTAACCTTAACAAATAGAAAAACTGTACAATTTTCTCTTTCTAAGTTTTCTCTCTAAACAGATATGGTTATTAAAAATATATAATTGTTTTTTTTTCTCCTTTTTTCCAAACTTAACACTTAATTGCACAAATATAACCTTAAAGAGAAAATTCATTAAAAGTGCACAAAATAGATTTTCTATGGCACAATTATCTTCTACGATTTACAACTACAAAAATTATGAAACAGTTACAATAATATACCTTGTTGAGTAAGATCCATTTTTGAAGATCAATTTGTTTTTGCTTTACAATTTAAAATTTTCCTTTAATTTTTAATGTTTCCAAATATTTTCATTTAGGTCCCACCTTCCTTAGTATATTATTTAGTGACTTTCACAATAGGTATGTAAAATAGAACATATTTAACCAACGTCCATTAGCGCATTTAGTAAATCTTTAAACTGTCAAAAGGTACACAGATAATTCAGAATTTCCTATTCATCTGTCATAAATCAAAATAGTAGAAAGCACTATTTTACTAAAAAATTTAAGAAATCACTCAATCATAATCTTTTAAAAATAAATTAATGAACATAAATCAACTCAATGCAAAGACATATTTTTCACAACTTTTTTCAATAGTTGGTAACACGTTTATGTCAAAGCAGTGACAAGTTCTAACGTCAGGAAGTAAGGTTATGTACCAGGGCTGCAGCGTTTCAAATTCTTTTATTTTTAAAACTATTACGTTTTTGCTGAAGTAGGCTGAACTAAGGCTTATTTTTGAAGACTGATGTTATTTCCAAAAAAGCGCACTAATATTTTGTGTGTGTGTGTGTGTGTGTGTGTGTGTGTGTGTGTGTGTGTGTGTGTGTGTGTGTGTGTGTGTGTGTGTGTGTGTGTGTGTGTGTTTTTGGCACTGGTTTTGACAACCAACTGGCCAGTCAATTTGTTTTAAGTTCTCTCTTTACAAAAGATATTGTTAGTATTTACATTTAAAACTATTGTACTAATATTTTAACCTTCACTGAAAACACATAAATGATTTAAAGAAATATTACCAAGGTGCGTGGTGTAAATTTAGGTGCTATTAACTAGATTTTGAAGCAAAAAAGAGACAATGAAACGATTGAGGTGAATATGAAAGAACGAAAAAGACAGTAGCAAAAGATGGCTTCAGAAAGAGGAGAGAAAGTATATTAAACCCGAGAATAATAAGCCAAAAACTCCAGCAATACTTAGCACACGCCATCACTTTGCACGAGTCGAATGTGAGACCATAACAACTTATAGAAGATAGAACAAAAAATTTATGATTGGACAAAAAAAACTAAGCAGGACTGTTGAGGTTAGGAGAAAAATGTTCTCAGATATGATAAGAGTACAAGGGCAACGTTCTTATTTTGTTAAAGTAGGTGACAACGAACAATTTACACTAGCTCTTATTGATCAAGCAGCTAATATCTTTTAAAGGTATGGAATCTCTTCCGTCGATAGAAGACATGATGAACTAAGAAAAATGTATGCCAATCGTCATGCAGTTTTCAACAAGATTCAGCTCCATATAAGGTATCCATAAAAGGTAAGTTGTGATTAAATATTTCAAGGTCAAAAACATATGTCCAGGGATCTCACCAGATCTTTGAGCTGATGGAGAATATACGGGCTTTTGTAAAAGCTACACATCGTGAAATACAACGCATAACAAAAAACTGATACGAGGCTGTAAGAGAAGTATGGTTTCGATGCCAGCAAACAGAAAATATTGTTTGAAAAAAAGTAAAAGTATGTTCATTTTTATGGACTCAATTGTAGGTTGTAATTCCAACTTCCTTTTGTATTCTGTTAAAAAATGATATTTTTTTGGTTCACAATGAGTTAGCTTCCAATTTGGAAATTTTCTAGAATCCATCCATACCTTCGAGGTGTTTTTGTTGTTGGCTCATAGTCTAGAAGTTTTCGATACTCTTCAGAATGAGTTTGCCATTAATTTTGACGATTGCCTGGTAAAGTAAGAAAGGGCTGAGGACAGAATCTGCATGGTGTTTTATTGTCAAAAGAAGATTTGGATACGTAGTTCCCGTATATTTTGTTTGTTTTAGGTGTCCACGGATTTTTCTCTTATCGATCTATGTATCACTCCACAGGTTTATTTACATGTTTTCTAATGTCTCTTTGTATAAGAGTTTCGCTTGAATTTGGTACAACTCGAAGGTCGATTGTCAGTTGGTGTGGTATCTGCTTCCACTAGGACGTTCCCTCAAATCGAGATTGCTTTTGGATCTTGTAGAATTTATATACAAGCCAATTAAAAGAAAATCTAATTCCGTCTTTGTTTCCTCGATTCAATCCCACTAGTCGCTTTGCAATATCTGGTTCCTTACAGGAGATATCAACTCAAAAAAGAACAGAAACCGGTTACCTCTCGATACTTCCTACTATCCTAAAGTTCTAAATAATTATTTGGAACTGAAAGGACTGTTTAAATGCCGAAATGGCTTAAGCTGACGTAATAAATCAGGAATCAGGAAGTTATCTCTAATCAAGTTCCATGCAATAAACAACTCTATTATGAAATTCGTAGACTAGTAATAATCTATTATCTAAGTGCTGTTATAAGGAATCCAATAACAAAAATGGTCTCCTTAGATCCGATTGAAAGGCGGTTTTTTGTAGAAATAATGTCAGATGTTTGACTAAATTGAATGCAAGGATAAATCTTGGACCAACCGATCTTGAGTAAAGCAACTAAGCAAAGTAAAGGAGTGGAAGGACGTTACTGGAATATAGATAATGACTTTTGGTTCTCGAAAATAACCTTTATTATGGAATACATCAATTTTCCTTTTACCCAACGTTGCTTATATTTCGATCTAATTCAATGTTTGGAAAAATCTTAAAAAAATATTTGGCTAGTCCCTTTTTTACACATCGTGTGACTGTTTTAAAAGTCGGATTTTGTGTAGCGTGTGTTTTAATATCGGAACGTTGCACCTCGAGAGAGTACCGACGTAAGGAAGACAATTTCTTTTAAATTTAAAAATTCCGTGCCTGACATTATGCGGATCAGTCAGTGTTCAAAAATATCGCTTAAAAGGTAACCGTTCTGCTTAAATTGAAGTAAAATACAGGGTGTCCTATTTCAAAATTGTTTGACAGCGTTATTTGAATCAAGAACCTCTCGAAGAAACATTTAGTTTATACCTTTTAGTTGTACAAGATTTACTAATTACTAATAAACGTTTTACGACCAACACGTTATCTAATATTCTACGTTACAGAACATTTCTGTTATATTCGTATTTTTTAAACATTTCAATAGGAGTCGTTACATACACCGTTTTCAAATATAAATATTTAGAAAATAAAGAAGGTCCACATAAAACAAATTGAAACATAAATGATTTAAGCAATGTGATTTTTTGGTGAAATTACATATCGTTTTAATGTTAATTATTTGAATGTCCGCATTTTCTTTGTTCTTGTTTTTTATTTTTAATCGACTGAGACCAAAAACTATTTTCAGCTATAGCTGTAAGCATATACAAACTGTTGTCTGTATTTTCAAATATATTTAACAATTTAAGGTTTGGGACACAATTTTACAAACTCGTCACAAAATTACAGTTTATCTTCTCATTTTTCTAAAACTGCTCTTTTTAATTAGAATTTGTGTTACAATTCTCTCAAAGTAACTTTAAAGTCGAATCAAGATGTAGCCTAGCTATTCACTATTACTATATCATTACAAAAATCGCCAGCTAGGAAGAATCGTCATCAATGTCAGCATCGTTCGGATTGGAACGGTACGAAAATAAAAATCTGAGTTTGTTCTTTGTAACTGCCACGTAATGTAACAATTGTTTTAATATACGATTTCTTAATTGCGCACGTCATACTGGCACAACTATTTTTGGAAAACTACACAAGCAGACTTTCTACATTGTAGATATGTGCTACAGAAAAACGATATTTAAAAATTACTATAATGGACACACTTTGCTGCTTTCTTTTGTAGTGATATAACATTTCAAGGTGTTTCTAGTTTTTGTAGAAATTTAGTACATAAAGTTTCACAAATTTCACAAAAATAAAATATTTCTCATTCAACAACTGATTGAAAAAAAGCTATTTCAGGTTCGATTGTCAGGATTAAAGGATAAATTTTCCACCAAAAAATCACATCAAACATAAAAAGCTTATGTATAGAATTAAAGACAAACTAATGTGGAAGGTAAAATATACAAATAACCTTAAACGACAATAAGGTTAGACATCAAAAGTTTTTCACACCACAATTTAAAAAATTTCAATGTCACCACACAAGTTAATAAAGTAAGAACATCTGGAGCAATAGATTCTGTATAAAAATCTCAGTATAAAAAAAATTATTTCCATTTGTCTTCTATTGGCACAATTGATATTTCGGCGACTCCATATAGGATACTCTTCCAGCAAAATATTCGTTTTCGGTAACAACTGCTTTGTACATAATTCAAGTTAAAATATTCTTAGCTTATATTGCAAATTTTATAATTTAAAAGTAAAAAACTATTATCTTTTTCAATATAATTTGTATAAAGTAAGCCTCCTATTACGTTTGGAAAGTCTCACAGATACATTCCGCAAAGTTCCCTGGTTCGAAAATAAATTTCAATTACATAAAAAATATTTTCATTTAAAAATACACAAGTGGCTTAAAAAGTATTATTGCCTTATCGTTTGATAGGCGTTTGAGTACAAACTCAACCGCTTTCAAAAATTTAGTGAATTCTTCATTTTCCTATACATGCTGAAAGAATATAATAAATGCTCCATGTTATTGCATATTTCATTCTGTAAAATAACTTGTAGTGGGGCAGTAAATATACACCTGGAAATTATCTGATGATACGATAATCATATATTGAAGAAACAAAGCATTATGCTTATTAATTTGACTTCATTTTTTTCTGTTGTAATGATTTCTGTTAGAATGGTCATAGCAAATCTAGCAATGGGCACAGCTGCATCAATATTAGCAATAGGAGTTCTTGAACTATTCATCATGCTTAGCATAAATAGGTTAGCTATTCCTACAAACATCTTTGATTCTAAGTGCAATACTCGTTGTATAAATTCATAGTGTTCATTATCATTTCATGGCAAATTTGGATTTGGAACTATTGTTTTTACAGAAGTACGTATTTGTACCATTAATATTTCTTTCAGCCTGTATTGGAAAAATGAAGATTTCGCTAAATTTGAGGAAGCATGTAAGTTTATACCACCAAACCTTATAGTAATAAAACTTTTTAAGCCACTTATGCATGCTTATATATACTATTTTTTAAAGTAAAAACGTTGCACGTCACGATTTCTACAAAGTGACGTCACTTGTATTTAAAATTTCTAGAACATCAATCTTAGAGTTCAAATTCCCCTAAGACAGCTAATAGTACGACATCCATACGGAACTGCTCGATCTTTCATAATCGTCAACATGGTATAATAATTAGAAAAATGTAATCATGATTATATTGAAAATTTTAGAATTATATTGATTAAATAGGCAAAAAGGTTTGTTATTATAAATAATATTAATTTTATGAAATAACTGTTTAAGTTGAATACTCCACAAAATAATAATTTTAATTAAATAGATTAGACAATCGTACGCCACTGATACGGGAAGACTTTCAATTTCAATGACAGTTCAGCGTTTGGCAAAATTGCTTATAGTGTTGCCACTTTTTTAGAGTACGAATTTTGTTTGTGTTTCGATTTCTGAAACAATTTGATTCACAATACATTATATATTAATAAATTGTATTTATAAATACATATTAAATTTAGCTGAATATCTTTAAAAACTAATAATTGTTGTGTATTGTGATTGTGCTATGCCCAAAAAAACTGAATAGTCTGTAGAAAGTTGATAATAGCTGATAAGTTTAACTGAACCAGAAATAATGGCTGGACGTTTTTACTATTAAATGTTCTAAAAGAGGTAAGTTAAAGAATTCAGAATATATATTTTTGTATTAAAATGTTTTCTTATATATTTTAGTGTGTTGCAGTAAGTGTATCTACTGTTAATAATATTTCTCAAGCTGTTAAAAATAATGAACTTTTAAAATCACCTCCTAAAAAACGGTATTACAAAAAGACAAACTAATACAGAAGTTTTATAAAAACCTTTCGAGTTTCTTTTACAAATTTTAAAAATCCAATTGATTATTGTATTGTATTCTTAAATAGTTGACATTCCTTACTTATTAACTATTCTGATATTTTGGCAACGCTGTGGTGTTCTGACGTCGTAAATCTTGAATGACGTGTACTCATTTTTATAGGAAAATTCTATAGAACTAATTTTTATGTAATTTAAATTTATTTATTATTATTTTCGAACCAAGAATCTCCGCGGAAGATATCTGCGAGACTTCCCAAAACTTTACACCTCCTCCTCTCTCCGATGACATATTCATTGTCATGTCGTGTCAGTGTCCTGAGTCGTGTCACAGATTTGTGTTTATCATAATTCCTTCATGTGTAACTGCTAAGAGGTTCTTTTTCTGGGCTGTGAATAGATTATATTTGTTGCTGTCAATTTTTTTGGAGGTACAACAAACAATTTTTCAGAGCAGTTACCTTTTCACATGTTTTAGGTAACGTTAAGTACTACTAGAAACGAGATAGCTTGCGATTTGTCTGTGGCAGTCTTATCAATGTGACAAAAGAGTAGCGATTAGGTTATGTAGTTTTAAATGCTAATGTACAACAAATGTAGCAGCATCTTTCTAAACGGTAAAGTAGTTTCGACATTGTAGGCGGTAAATTCTCAGAAATGATGACGTTTCAGCGTCATCATTTCTGGCAAATTTCTCTCTTACTTATTAAAAAGTTGTTCTGCTGTATTTTTCTACTTGTCACAAGAATCACGATGTACTCAACGTTGTGATGTAGTATACAATGTGCCATATGGGAATATTTAAAATATCATTTCAATACATTTATCTTTCTGAAAATATAGTGCCTACAATTTTTAACTATAGTATAGGATTCTGCATTTTCGGTCCAAGTATAGCAGTGATAAACTGAAAATCTTGGAAATTGCAGTGCATTACAGCTGTTTAAGTTAAACAATATGTGGAAGAAGTTCAGTTCAGAAAATCAGTTCATTCACTGTCAGTATTGATTGTAATTATAGTCGTAGATCCCATTGAGCTCTTTACAGTTGATAATGGGTTCATACTAAAATTCTTGCCAAACATACTTTACACAGTTCTTTAACGACTTTATTATAAGATCCTTCTTTCAGTTGTCCTTAAACATACGTCTATAAATTACTTGCGGTGTTTAAACTACCTTTGGATGGTCCTAAGTTTTCTGATTTTGGCACAATTGGATTTTATCTCACTTTATACTAAGATCGACATATTTTTGTTCGTCAACCAAAGGTTCCCAAGTTTTTATAATCGCTTAAAGCAATAAGCTAACCTGCAAATTCTTTTTAAAACGATACCCAAAATCTACTAAAAAAATATTTTTCTTGTAGTACCTGATTTATTATTTGAAGCTTCTGTTTGTTTTGGAATTTAATCCAATACATTATTTATCTCAACAACCAATTATAATTATTTAAAAAATTCGAATAAAAATATAAGCTTTATTATAGATATTATATAGAATAAATTTAAGAAGATAAAATATAAAATTTGCAATATAGTATTCTGAAATTTATGATGTTACCGCAGAGTATTCGGTATTAGGAATCACCTTGTAATTAAAAAAGAAACTTAGTCAAGGTGGAGAGGAAAAATACTCCTAAAAACGTATAAATATTTTCGCTGGAAGTTATTGACTATGTTTCTTTTTGGACAATACTGTAATCTGCTATTTAATTTAAGCTATGTTAAAGTAGGCAAGTGTGGTAACAGGCTGCAGGCGCAGGTACTTTAGTTATGCAGGTACGGTTCGTTCAAAATTCCGAATCCTACTGGAAATACATAATTATTAGAACATTTTATCAAAGGAACTTTTTAATATTAGTTAAGGTTAGATAAAAATATGTACAGTTGCGGTCACGGAATAGTTTACACCTTACTTTTTATATTGTAATACTGTAAAATTGCAGTGTCGTACGGATTTGATAAATGTCAAAGTCAAAAAATTTCAAAACGTCAATGCTTTCGCGAGTGTTCAACAATAAAATAAAAGTATATTAAACTCTTCCAAAATGGTTAGAATACATTTGAATTATGCGCAAAAAGCAAGAGCAATTGCCAAACTCGAAGAAGGTTGGTCACTAAGGCAAGTTGCTGCTGATTTGAACGTGAGTCATATGTGCATATGGAAGATTAAACAAAGATGGGATAATTTTCACTCTATAGCACGGTTGGGCGGTTCAGGAGGGCAGAAGATTTCCACAGATCAACAGGATGAGATGTTAGTAGATTATTTGAGAGAATCTCCTTTTGCCACAGCTCAAAAGGCAAGGGAAGAGGCAGCGTTTCCAGGCAGTATTCGCACTGCACGTCGAAGAATTAAAGCAAGTGGACTGCTAAATTGTGTAGCTGCACGGAAACCTTTTTTGACTGAGGATCACAAGAGGAGACGAGTTGAATTTTGTAATGAATTTATAAACCGCGATGAGAATTTTTGGTCTAGGGTTGTATTTTCCGATGAAAAAGTATTTCAGTCGTATAATAATGGTCGAATAAGAGTTTATAGGCCGAGAAATCATAGGTATGATGAACAGTATACGCATCATTTAAGAAATAGTGGAGGATTCTCTGTCAACGTATGGGGATGGATAAGTGCCGAAGGCCCGGGCGTTTGTTATCATGTAGAGGAGAAGTTAACAGGATTATATTACAAACATATTATTGAGCACACAATGTTGCCATCGGTGATCCAGAGATTCCCCAACAACGACTTTATCTTCCAACATGACAATTGCCCGGTGCATACGAGTAGAATTGTTCGAAAATGGCTAGAAGAAACTGATGTTAATGTTCTTCCGTGGCCTTCCCGTAGTGCAGACTTTAACCCCGTCGAAAATGTGTGGGCAGAGTTAACAAAGAAACTAAATGAAAGAAACCTTAGACCACGGAATAGAATTGAATTATGGGAAGCAATTGAGCAGGCATGGGAAGAGCTTGTTAACTATAACATGAGGGGATTGGTGCTATCTATGAACAGAAGACTGCAAAATTGTATTGACAAGAATGGGGCTTCCACCAAATATTAATTATTATTTATCATTATTTATCGTTATTTAATATAAAATAGATTTAAAATAAAATGCATATTAAAAAAAAAGACTTCTTTATTTTCGTTATTAAGATCATAATCCATTTTATTCAAAAAACTGTTTTCTATATTTTTCATTTTGTAAAATATTTTGATATTTTAATTTTAATCTACCTATTCTAGCTAGTACACCACTGGCAACGTCACTTTGACGTAAAAGGTGCATTTAAACGAAGTAAAAATTTAAAAAATGGACTCCTAGATACGTGAACCTGTAAACTATTCCGTGACCGCAACTGTACATTATTAATTTATCGATAAATTTGCCTACACATAGGTTGCGTTTAAAGTATCCCTCCAAAATATTTCCTGAACAATAAAACTGTATTCATTAAGGTCTTCGGAACTTTTCATCATTCTGGCTTTATAACCCTGCTTGAGTCCTAGCCTTCTAAAGATTTTCTCTTAAGTCGTCCCTATCCATCGTCTTCCTCCGCCAAGCAGGTATTCCCATATTTCTCATGTTTTCATCGATGTTATCAAGGAACCTTGTTCTAGGTCTTCCTCTTCTTCTCTGACCAATTGGTCTATCAAGGAGCGTTATTCTAGCTGGGTCATTTTGTTCCATCCGCATTATATGCCCTATCCACCTCAGACGTTCTATCTTAATATTCATAGCACTGTGGAAAATATTTTATACGTTGCATTTAGAAGCGTAATTCCTCTGTGGTAAGAGCATTCAAAGATATCTGCTTTTTTTGAGTATGGTGCAAAGTATTCCAATATTCCAATCATTGGGGAGGGATTTCTGTGTCCATATTTCTTTTATAAGCTGCTGTAATGCCATTACAGCAGGTATCGTAGTCACCTTCTTATATAGTTTAGCTGGAACTCTATTCCGGGTGATTTGTTTCTGGCTAGTTTTTAACTGCATCTTTGTGTAGAAGTGGTTTCAATTGGCTGAAACTTTGCAGAGAGGTAACTTTGGTATTGCAGATCAAGAGTTCTCATTGCTCCAAGACTCAGGAATCAATTGTTTCTGAGTTACAGAGGTGCGAAGTGTCGGTTTATAGTCCATTTAAATAATACATATTTGTGTAATATACCGGGTGATAGTAAGTAAGTGCAACAAACGTCAGGGAGTGATTTTGCATCAAAAAATATTGACAAACGCTTCGTTTTCCGAGATATGGAAATATCTCGGAAATATATAATATATATAAATTTTCCTTACAAACTGACCATTTATTTATTGCTCTAAAACCAGTTGTGATATTCAAATGAAATTTGGTGAGTTTTAGGAGGTAGTTATTGCACATTTTTTCATACAATTAAAAATTTTATGGCGCGCATACAGGTAATAGCCTCAATTAAAAAAAATGGTTTTATTAGAAAATATTTATTTTCTTCTTCTTCTTCACTGGCTTTACAACTTGGGGTGTCTTCGCATGCACTATCCCCCATTATCCTCTATGATCGTGAGCTTCTATTTCCCATTGTTGTACCCCAATTCTAGATAAATCGGCTTCAACATCATCCTTTCATCTTATTCTCGATCGGTCTTCTACCATCTGGTATTTAAAAAAAAAGACTGTCTTTACCACTCTGTCATCCTCTGATCGTAATACGTGACCAGCCCATCTTATTCGGTTTGCCTTGATATGTCTAACTATGTTTTCAGTTCCATACAGAGTCACCAATTCAGCATTGCGGCGTCTTCTGTGAATTCATCTTTGAGGGCCAAATATGATTCTGAGAACCTTTCTTTCAAATACTTGAAGCTTATTGATTTCCCGCTGGTTGAGAGTCCATGTTTCACTGAAATATGTAATAATTGGGCGAATAATCGACTTGTACAGTGTTAATTTAGATTTTCTTTTTAGCAGCTTCGATCTTAACAATGTTGAAAGGGAGTATAATGCTCTATTTCCCGCAGCTATCCTTGCTAAGACCTCTTTTTCTATGTGGTTGTCAGCTGTAATTATCGCCCCCAGGTATTTAAACTTCTTTACTACTTCGAAGTTGTGATCATTAATACTGATATTCTGCCTAACTCTTGGTCTTAGATTTTTGGTTACTACCATATATTTTGTCTTTTCTTCATTTATTCGGAGACCCAGACTACCTGAATTTATACCAAATGGCATCGATGTTCTGCTTCCTATCTTTACTTCGCATATGAGTGTGTCACGCACATTTGCGTTAATTCAACTAATTTTCTTGGTATTCCCATTTCTAACATTGCTATCCACAATTTGCTTCTTTTTATGAAATCATATGCTTATTTAGTTTAGTGGATACTTTTGGGAGATTATTAAAAGAACTTACCTGAGCCCTACATACTATTCTCTTTTAAAATATCAATTCTCCATCCAGCGGATTGTTGTTGGTATTTCGCCTGCGAGATTATTCTTTCCATTACACAAGACGCTGATAATCTTGCCTCGGCATCGTGATCCCAACATTCTTCCATGGTGTCACAAATTACTGCCAAACCCTAAAAACAATTTGGTTATTTAATATAAATATATCTTAACACAGAAGAATCAAAAAAGCGAACTAGTCTAGTAAATCAGAGTGTACTGTACTACTTTGAAGATAAATGCTGGAAAAACTAAATGCATGGCAATAAGAAAAAACGCAATTTTAAGAATACAACTGCAAGTAGATAGTGCTCCAATCATTAAAGTAAAAACATTTAAATACTTATCAAATTTAAACCGCTATTATGTAACCGCAATCTTTCCTTCAATCTCCGCTACAGGATGGTTAAATGCTATGTATGGTCCATATTATTATACGGCATGGAAACATGGACGTTAAGAGTACCTTCCATTAATAAGTTGGAGGCCTTCGAAATGTGGACGTTGCGAAGAATGTTCCGCATACCATGGACAAATAGGGTGAGAAACGAGGAAGTCTTAAGAAAGGCAAATACTGGGAGAGAAACCGAATGGTGTGCTGTGTGACGAAGAATAAAAAATTCCAATTAAATTTGAAAGAAAATTCTATAAGATAAGCGAAGATGTACCGAAATGATTATTAGGCAAATAAAAAGGAATAGGAACAACGTAGTGAAGAGTGGAGTGAAGAATGGATAACCGCAGTAACAAAAAGGCTAACATTAAGCATGGATATATTAGAAAAAGTGTAGGGGTGACAACAATTATTAGCAATATGAGAGAGCATAGGTTAAGATGATTAGAACATGTTCAATGTCGATATGCTAATTACCCAATACGAAGAATTGCTGGACTGAAATTTCGTGGAACGAGTAAAATAGTACTACGTATTGGTCTGATCAAGGAATCCATTAAAACTGACTGAAGGACGAAATTCTATCCCAAAAAAATAAAATGCTTAATGTATGAGTAGAGTGACAACAAAAGGATAAAATTAAGAGGGAAAAGCTTCAACAGGATATGTCTATGAAGTGGATTGATATTGGTATGACCTGAAATACTAAATTATGGAGAAATAATTAAGAAAGCTGACCCCCGCAGGGACAAATGCAAAGAGAATGATGCGTATTTCTTTACAAAGGAAAACACTGAATATTAGTCAAGAAATGTATATGTAAAAAAAATATTGTTTTAACAATGGAACACAAATACACTAGAATTTAGGTCTTTTAGAAAGAATAAAAAGGACTTTATGCATCGTTTGATCACTATCGATAAAACTTAGGCCTATCATCATGATCCTAAATCAAAACAGCAACGGCATTTCAATGCTAAGTGATGTGAACCTGATACTTTGGCTCCGAAATAAGTTACTTTCATTGAGCATCAGTTTTTTGTGATGCAAAGTGAATTTTGCTAGTGAATGACCTTAAATTTGGTAAAATATCAAACAGCACAAGTCAGATTATTACTATAAACTTTTGTTATAGTGCTACTGGATATACCAATTGGTGAAAAAATACTTTGTTTAAAAAAGAACAAACCCACTTTCCATCAAGACAACACAGCCTCTCACAATTCTCAGAAAACTATCACGAAAGATAAAAATGGTTGCAACATCCAATCTATTCGCCAGATTTAGCTCCTTCCCTATGGATAACCATGAAAACCATAGGGTAATATATCATTTATACATTAACTGCATTAAATACGACAAGATAAAATTAAATTGATTTTTTCGAGCTCTCGCGGATGATTGGAATACTTATAAATCGTAATATATATATATATATATATATATATATATATATATATATATATAATAAATTAATGAATAATAGTATATTACCGGATGATGCCTCCAATGCTCTTGGATCAAAGGTCGAACTTTTTGTTGAACAACAGATTCTTGCATATCCTCAAGAGACGGATGTTGGCCCACTTCTTCTTCGAATGGTAGTCTGTATTCTGGTATAGGTCCGTCCTGTGCTGTACACCTTGACACCAACTCCCAGAGAACTAGACCACAAGCGTACATATCGATTCTTAGAAAAGCGTCTTGAGTGAAATTTATAGCACCTTCCAGGACTTCAGGTGCCATATACCTAGTACACAAATTACGATAATAATCAATTTTAACGAGAATTTAATTACATCAAGCTGTATAGTGAAACTTAATTGGGATCGGCTACGCAATTTAAATGTTTTTTTTTATTAACGTTAATAATGTTATAATTTTTTTATTAACGTTAATTTATAGAACCTACAAATTAACATTAAACCAATACAACAACTTACCTTCTAGTACCAACTTGTCCATGTGTATCCCCACAAGATTTACCAGATTCAAAAGTAATGGCCAAACCGAAGTCAGCTATGCACGCAGTCAGATCGCTCTTTAATAGAACGTTTTTGCTTTTGAAATCTCTATGAGCAATTGCAGGTTTAGACAGTTCTCCGAGAATTCTTCCTGGAATGGCTTCATGAAGACGCATCAAACCTATAAGGCAACAAAACAGAGTTTATAGTAGATATTTTGTTGTTGTTTTTTTAGAATCAGGTTGGTAAATATATGAAAAAAAAAAGAAAATGTTACAGTAGGCGGTATAGTAGACTAGCGCGAAGCTTTATTGTTTTCTATGCTTTTAAAATTGAATAAAGCTATTTTATTATTACTTTATTATTTATATTTTAAACAAATTATATTATATTTAAATAAATCAATGAATTATTATGTTTGCTCCTAACGCCACCTGTTGACGTATTAACAAAGCACACGTTGTTTATTTTTGACGTTCGGACAGACTTGTTAGATTCAAACGAAATATTAAACTATAATAAAATATAAATAAATATCATTTGATAGTAAATTAATTGTTTAATAAATATGTTCAACAAGAATAATTATATTTATTTGAAGTTATTGTAAAACGAGAAGTGTGGAAGAAATTTAAACAGATGATTCTATATTGTTATTAATTGGATGGCATTTATGACTTTTAAATTTTGACAATCTTTGCGAATCTAATTTTTTATTGACAGAGATATTGTTTTAATTTTTTACTTTTCATTTAATATATGTATTTTATTACTTATTTTTCATGCAGTATTTGATTTGAATCTGTTTAGAATACATATATTATAATGAATAGAAACCAATTGATCGAGAGTAGTGAATCGATGAGAAGAGCCGCTAATTTATGATGCTACCCGTGACGATACCATATTGTGGGGCGCTAGTTCTGTGACGCCATCTTGTTGTGCTAGTTTCGTGACGCTCGCGTCATGATTTTACTATAGAGAAAAAATACAACGCCAGCATAGAATCTTCGTTTAAAACACTAAATATTTCAGTCATATTTAAGGAAAAGTCCACAAGCAATTTTTGTTGCGATAGATTTTTCGCTTTTTAGTGTGATATCTGATATATAATCAGATTTAAATCAATTTTTTTATATATTGATACGTTACAGACATCGACAACTCCCTAAACGCATTATTTTCGTTCGGCCTTTACCCCTTCTTTTTCTAATATGCTCGTTCCTTTTCATCTTTCATTTGGTATTTATTAGTAACCCGTGTTATACTCTTTTCATTGAACTCAGTCGTAACTGACTAGTAAATTAGTAATTAATTTTGTTCTATGATACTATACTGATTGAAAGGCAAGAAAATGAATTAAAAAACACAATGTTTTCGTCATTTAGACTAGCACAAATAGCCTGCCACGAATTACAAATTACCTGGTCATCCAGGTTGGGGGTTGAGCGGTTGGGTTAACATCCCAGAAACTCTTAAAGCTATAAATTCGTGATAACTTTCATACACAAGCTTCGGATCAAAGTTGGATTAAATTGTAAACGGACAAGGCAAAGAAAACGGAAAATGATTTTCGCAAACTCGGGACTGAACAAAAAGAAGGAATTAAGAAAGAAGAAACTAAATAGAGAAAATGAATGAATGAATTGAAAAGAAAAGTATTTTAAAAGTGTGTAAAGCATTTAATTCCTAGCGAGAATGCGCTCAGTAGGAATAAAAAGCTTTACACACTTTTAAAACACTTTTTAATTCATTAATTCTTATATGTTTGTACAAAACATATCAGTTTTTTGCAAAAAAAGGAACATAGACAAGTGCATACATCTATATTTAGGGGTTCACAAATACGGTGGTGAGTGAGTTAAGAGCTGGCAAAAGAAAGCAAAAGATGGAGAACATAATACGTTGTAAAATAAAAAGAGATGGAACTAGTAGGGGTGGGAAATATTATAATTTATATTACATAACATTACCACTGTCGATCGATAATTTTTCACCTTAGACGTTAGTTTATGAGCTAGTTGAAGGCTATTGAAGACAAAGCAAAGCAAATGTAAATAAAAACAGTTTAAAAAGAGAAATCATAAGATTTCTACCTGGCGAAATCGAATTCAAATATAAGCCACCGTGCCTCCTAAAACTTGCGAAGCAAACAGCTTTATGAATGAATCGGCAAGGGAGTCTAGAAATTGCACTCCAAATTCCGTTCATCATGGCCTATATTCGTAGTGAATTCGATTTCTGGTACTCCAAATGAAGTAAATAAACAAAACAAAATGACGGTATTAGATTTTGATTTGATACAGAGCAGCAACAAGCCGCATATACGTATTTCGATCTCTTTAGATCTCCTCAGTACGGTATAGTTACTACTCCATATCAAACCAAAATATTTTCCCGTCGTAGATTATAGTTATTAAAAATAACTATTTACGGACGTAACTACGCCATCTAAGAACAAAAAGAGAAATCATACGATTTCTACCTGGCGAAAAAACAGGTTAATTAGTAGTAATTTTTTATTCCAACATTAAATTATTGATCAAAAATAATTTCTACTAGGATTTGACACGTCCCATACTCTTGTGAGTAAAGAATTAGCGAAGCTTGGTGGTTTAGTTGTAAGAGTACTATACTTTCCCGCAGATGCTGATGATTCAAATCCCATATTATTTATTCTTATGTCAGTCATTACTTCAAACTATTTAGTTTGATTTATTATTTAGTAATGATTTTGATACGTACTCCATCTAATCCACATATATCCTTCCCTTCTCACACCTTGACCGAAACTTCGTTAAATATTAGAGTGTAAATGAGGGTAGCACCGGCAGTACCCAGATAAGGACGGACATTGGATTTTAACAATCGAAGCTATATCAGCAGAATAGTTCTCAAACTTCGATGCAGTAGGGCATGGGAATCCATCTCATACTTCGATGCAGTAGGGCATGGTAATCCATTGCATTATAATTCCAAAGAAATTTATGCGTGATGTTTTATGAGATTGCTTCGAATTTGTCACGCAGCTCGGGTGACGACCGGCGCTACCTTGAGACCAGGTCAAAGGGTGCGAAATTGTCCGCCGGCCACGCGAATGTTAGTCATCAGGCACCGTGTGGAAATTCAGCTACTGGTCCACAAAAATTAAAACTTAGAAAATTAATTAATGTCGCTACATGGAACGTACAAGAGCTAAAGACACAGGTAAGCTGTCAATTATTGAAAGGTGTAACATTGAAATCTCTGGACTAGCTGAAACGCATTGGTTAGGAGGTGACCATTTTAGAATACATAATGGCAATTATGTTTACTTCTCTGGCGGTGAGACTCAGTACTATACATGTGTTGCTATTCTGGTCTCCTAAGATTACAAAAATCTGTCGAATTAAAAGCTGTGAGCGATACGATAGTTCTCCTTAAACTGAAAGGCACACCACATAAACTCAATATCACACAAGTTTGTGCACCAACCAGCACAGCAGACGACATAAAAAGAAAAATTGGAAACAACAATCGACAATATTCCAAATTAAGAGCTAATCTTAATATGCGGTGACTTAATAACGCAAAAGTCGGAGACACTACATACAACGACGACCTAAAAAATGTAATGGGAAAGTTCGGCATAGGCCAGAGAAACGAAAGGAGACAGCTTAATCGAGTTTGCTATTACAAATAACTACTCCATCCATGAATACTTGATTTAAACACCATGTACGCCGACTTTATACTTGGAAAAGTACTGGAGGTAGGTCTAGAAATCAAATAATCATTCATTCAATCATTCTTACTAATATTCGCTGGAGATTATCAATCTAAACAGTCCGATCATATTTAGGAGCGATATGCGCATCATACTTTCATCATAGCTAAAGTAAGCTCAAACTTAAAGCGCCCAACAAAGGGAGAGAAAAATGAGGATAAAATTAATAAAGAAGGACGACCTTCTTAAAGAAGTACAAAAAGTATCACTTCTATTCGTAAGGGTACATCACAAGAATATGGGAAACTATTAAACATTGCGTAGCAACACCAATTAATCGCCCAAAGCGAAATAATCCTATGAAACAGAAACACTGGATAACAGATGAACCCTTAAAATAATTGAGAATAGAAGAAAACTTTCTCAAAGTGGTGTACATAGTAAAACGGAAAAAGCTAGTATAAGAAAGCTCAACAAAGAAATAAAACGAAGATGCTAGGCTGATAAACAACAGCTCTACCACAATATATGTAAAGAAATTGAGAGCCATGATTAAACCAGACGAGAGATTTATTAACAAAAATACACAAAATAACAGGAGACCTTAAAACCAGAACTTGGGCCATTGAAAACCACACAGAAACTCTGAGAATCATCAGAGAAGGTATAGCAAATATGTGGATTATATTACCGGGATCTATACAAAGATGATCAACGTCAGGAAATTGTTCACCAAACCCCTGAAGAACTGGAATAAGAACCTAATATACTCAGGAATGAAATAAGACAGGCGATCAATAAACTCAAGTATTACAAAGCACCAGGTCCAGATATGATAAAAGCAGAAATCCTCAAAGCCACGGAAGAAACCGGAATGAAATTGCTTCACTTGCTCTATAACAGAATATAAGATTCCAAGCAATGATCTAACGACTGGACAAAATCTACAATAACGACAATACATAAAAAAGTCAGCTTCCATAAATGCGACAACTATAGAACCAACTACCTTATCTCACATGTCAGCAAAATAATGCTACACATAATGAACGAAAGTATTATACACAAACTGTATATTAATTAAAAAAATTGTAATACTATACACATTTTTTTAATTTTTCCATTATTTTATCGATTTTCTAATAAATGAAGTTAAACATTATATGTTTAAAATTGTTTATCACATGAACAATACCGATATAAATACTAAAATTAAGTAATTAGTAAAATTACGGTAGGAAATAAAACACTTTCGTTGAATTATATTTTTTCGAAATCGTGTCAGTAATTAGGAAATTATAAATAAACACAAATTATTAAGTATAATTTAATGTTATTAAAATATCAATACAATCGTTTAATATAAAAACAATGTGGCGATAGTGGTACCATTGTATAAAGGTAAGGACTCAAGGCAACCTGGAAGATATTGGGCAATATCTCTTTTAAAAGCCATGTCAAAGATGTATAAATAA